ACCATGCTATAGATTTGGTAATTTGTTAAACATCACTTTTCTACAAAGCTGTCCAATTGTCATAAAAACACAGTATGTTCAGCAATTCTGAACATTCAAACATGTTCAGCCTGAATTAATAATTCTTTCAATAATCAGCAGTAGAATCAATCTGCTTGAGTAATCTTAAAAACAACCTAAATTTTAAACAAAATTTAGACCACCTACCTGCAAACAAAGTAGAATCTTTCCAGTTCAGCCTACAGAGTAGTTTAACAAAATAAAGATGAACCAAGCAGTAATCAGATAAAGCTCAAAAACCAGCAGATCAATTTCTGGCCCAGAAAGCTTTGTATTCCCAGTATGCTGCAAACTCTATCTGAAGCAGAGTGCCAAATATTTAATGACAACTACACAAAATCACTGCTTCAGTTTCCTAATTTTGTTATGAGATGTTTTTCCGTGTAAAAGAAAAGTTCTAGTGTAGTTTAAAGCACATTATTTGTTGCTTCCTGGTTTGCAGTTCTAGCACTCTTTCCAAGGCTACAGGTCAGAATGCACAATTGAAGTTATACCTCACTCTACAGGTTCCTAAGCCACTCCTACTAGAAGAGAAGAAGTAAACAGGGTTTTATTAAAGGGACAGTTCCTAATTTCTTCAGTTCCATACATGGTGTAGAGACAAGATGCAAATGAAAATATCTTGCTCATGCTCAATTACTCTAAAAAAAAAAAAAAAACCTACTGCAATATTTTCAAATTTCATTTGAAAATTTAACTGTTAAAAGATTAAATTTTCTTCTCCATGATAGTACTTTTAACTCAATTCCAGAAATATGATAATTACTTCTTCATATACCACTTCTTCAATACTGACATAGCATTCCCATCTGACTCCTCTATGACTACTATCGATTGTATCTCTTGAGTATTATAAATGGAATTTCAGGAAATAGCAGGAAGAGCCAGCTATTCAGGTGGAGCAATTCCAGTGAATACTTGGCACATCTTTCATCATTGAAAAGTTATGATAACATCTTGATTTAGTTCTTTCCTTTGAAAATATTTCTGACTTTAATCCATTCAGAATAATTTCCTGGACTATAATAAACACTACAGTCTTGTCTGCCAATTCCAATTTATTCCAAAGATGAAGAGTTTTCTTCTAAATTTCATTTTTTAAAGTTAAACATCCTAATTTCTACCAATTTATTGACAGAAGGTCAAATGCTACTTGATGAACTACAACGCTTGACCTTTCTGGGGTTGCTAAAATCTAATCATTTTTACAAGGGCAGAATGAGAGAGCAAAATGACATGGAGAAGACCACTCAAATGAAGAAAGCACACTATGGGGGCTAGCTTCCACATATAAAATTAAGAGGTTTTAGCCCACGAGGCAAGTTCTCATTGGCTGAAACTATAGATGAATATATTTACTCTCCACCTATGAGAATAAAATGTATTGTAATATTTATCTACTTCTTTTGCTAACTATAAAAATCCTCATAGCAAAGCAAACCACTGGTATATAGAGCAGAGTTTTAATTCAGGAGATTTAAGAAGGAAAACAGAACCTAAAATTGAGCCCCAAGAAAGAACAACATACAAAGGATAAGTAGAGAATGAGTGGCCAACAAAAAAAGACTGAGGGAAATATCAGAGAGGGAAGAGGAAAGTAGAAAGAATGGTATCATGGAAGTGAAGGATAGAAGGTGTTTCAAAATGGAGGGAGTATACAAAGTTGTCAATGTTGAAAGGCAGCACATGTGGCAAATGCAAGCCTCCAGAGGAATGAAGCAGGCTGGCAGGCCAAGCAACATGACTAGCATATGAGTGCTGGGGGAAGGGAAAGAAAGACTCCTTGGGAAAGGAGGAAAGGCCAGTTCTTGAAAAACCTTGTATGCCATGCTTTAAACTATGGACTTTACATTGTGAAAAATCACCTAGTAGTTTCTGTGAAAAAGTAATTGTGCTTTCAAAAAAAAACTTTAAAAACTACCATTACTTGGCAACAACCTCAAAGGCAGATTAGAATGTTGTAAAAGAGATAATTAGGAGACTAAGTGATGCTGCAAGCTAGAAATGATGAGAACCTTGGTGATTAACTAGACATGTTGACAAAGAAGAGGTAAGAAACAAGGATATTCTTGGGTTTCTGGCTCAAATGACCCGGCTACAGTTGGTATGGTTCACTGACCAAGGAGAGTAGGTGGA